AAGGCAATTGGGTGGGAAGGCGGAAGATATGAGGGAATTAAATTAAATGCTGATGATGTGGGTAGAAAACTACACAAATAGTGAAATAGGCTGGATTCGAGTTAAAAATACACTATTACTACTACGTGGAAAAAGAGCTGATGTACGTCTGTCAGTAGCTCTGTGCCTCGTTGCGTCTTATCCGACATTTAGTCGACCACACATTAATGTCTTCTCGAGCAAGTTTGCTGGCCGCTGGTCCCATGGAAAAGAAAAAGAGGAATAAAGTACTGTGCTTGAGCAAGTTTGATGCGGCATGTTAATCTGTTTGTTTGTCTTTTTTGTTTTTTTTTTTTAATAATAATTAAAAGTTATTATATTAAAAGTGTTAGTAAAAAGTATTAAATTTGTAAGGCTTGAAAATACAAATTATGAGTTATCTTTTGAGGCAATAAGTGAATATTGGATAATGACACGTGAAATGCGTCTTTTTTTCCTTTTTAATATGGGATATTTCGAATATGAACGGGAGAAGGGACTAGGGAGGCAACTTATAAATTGGATTTATAAAGTTTAAAAAAGTAATTTATTGAAAATTAAGTTATTCTTTAAAAACTTTTTAAAATAAATTTAAAAATTAATTTTTAAAATAATTTTTATGTAAATTTTACTCATTTAAAATTTCAAGACAAAACCCTTGAAAAAAAAAATAAATTCTATAAAAAAATATATTGAAGTGATACAGTGAACTTGGACTCCTTGAAAAAAACAAAACCCTTGTCCGTCCCTCAAATAGGAGTGGCAGGCCGGCATTGGTATGTCTATTTTTTAAAAAAAATAAAGATAAATTATTTTTAAAAAATTATTAATTAAAATAAATTATTTATTTATTAATATATAATATTATTATATGTTAAAAATTTATTTATCATCTAAATATATTTTTAATAAAAATTAATATGTAATAATATTATATATCAAATAATAAATTGTTTATTTTAATTTATAATTTAAATAAATAATTTTAAAGATGTATGTATCCTAATTTATTTGAAGTGGAGTTGGCCTTCGAAAATGACATAATAATAATTATCATTATTTTCTTTGAACAGCGGAAGATTTTTAAAGGAAGAATCTAAAAATAAAATCCAAATTATTTATAACCAATCACATAATTTCAAGAGAGGATCATTAAACCACCAAATACGACACGTGTGGTCCAGTGGCTAAAACTATTGAAAAGTGCACATCTCCCTCCCCTGGGCGGACGAGTTTCGAACCCGTCCCATGACAAAACTGTTTAAGAAAGAAAAAAAAAAAAAAAACCAAATACGGCACGAAAACGAAATGTTTTTTATTTGAATAAGATTTAAAGTTCTTTATATCTTGAATGGTCGTTTCGGTCCAATAGTATTAGACTTTAAATTAAAATTATTTATCTTTGTGGTTGACATATTTAAGTCTTATAAAACTCATTTTCTCTATCTCTTAGATGCCTATAAATAATGTTAAAATTGTTAAAAAAAAATTTTCTCTATATCTTTATTAGGAGACAGTTAACACCGCCCCTGCACAACTTTATTTCAAAGTGAGCAATGCTAGGGGCACTCGCTTTTCGCACTCTCCGGCCAATACTTCCCCTTTCATTAGGCCACGTAAGCTTCTTTAAAGCTTTCAGCCCAACATCTCGAGCACCAAGATAACGTGGCCCAATAAAAGAGAAAGTGTTGACCGGAGAGTGCGAAAAGCGAGTGTCCCTAGCATTGCTCTTTCAAAGATAATACACTGTAGTTAGTCTGTTTATGGAAAAAAACAAAAAGAAAAAGAAAAGGAAAAAGAGAAAGTG